ACGGGGGTGGGGTGGGGGGGAGGGTGTTGTTGGAAAAAGAAATGCAGGGAGCCAAATGTGGCTACATTCCTGTGACCCTAACACCTGGGAGGCTGAGACAGGAAGATCCTGAATTTCATTCAGACCAGCCTGGGCTACACAGCAAGATCCTGTTCAACAAAACCAAACACAATCTGATCCCTGATGTTTCAAGATGAGATCAGGGACTTCTTCAGCTGTCTATCTGGGACACAGATGGTTCTGGACCATGAAAGTAACATGCATCACACTTCAGCAAGGACAATCTGAGGCTTACCCTGAACTTCAAACAGCTGGTCCTCTTCCATCCAAATTTCTTTTCCTTCAAGCCCATTAGGGCTGTTCCACTTGTTGGACACTCTGGGGGAGAGCAATTAAGATAAGCTGTGAAACACTCCCTTGGCCACAAGCTCTGGACTTGGTTCTTTCAGTACTCAGGATCCACCACACCATGCTAACTTTTTTCCTGGGGCTAGCCAGGCATCTCTGTATGTGAAATCTTCCCAGGCTGCAGGATTATGCCTCAAACTGGACACTGAGAAAGTACATTACCATATTGCCATTTCCCTCAACATTACTTTAATTTTCTCATTTGTTTAGGTTTCTGTTTTTAGATAGGACTATACTCTTGAGGACATGCTGGCCTGGAGCTCTCAATCCTCCTGCCTCTCCCTTCTGAATGTTGGGATTACAGGTATGCATCAACATACCCAGTCATTTGGGATCCTTTAAAGTCTCAGCATTTCTCTGACTTAGAAGGTACAAACTCTTGTCTCTCCTTCAGGGTGATGCTCTACTGTATTTAAACTGACCTTGGTACCCGTCCTATTCCTGGAGTTAAACTCAAGATACCTTGTATCAATAAGGTATCCTTTTCTCCTCCCAAAGCCAACAGCACAAAAGCACATCCACTGGGCACTGTGGTACTTATCTGTAATAACAGTATTTGGGAGACTAAGATGTGAAAACCACAAGTTCAAAGCCAGTCTGAAATGCACATGCTAGACTACTTAAACAACGACAAAGTCAGCACTCCTCCTCTTAAGGTCTATGAATCCAGGCCATTTCCTATCTTGGCTCCATCACACCACACCACTACAGCAGTGGTTCTCAACCTTCTTAATGGGGGAACCCTTTAATGCAGTTCCTCATGTTATAGTGGCCCCAACCATAAAATTATTCTATCACTACTCCCTAATTTTGCTGGTTATGAACCACAATCTAAGTATCTAATATGTGACCTCTGTGAAAGGGTCATTTGACCCTCAAGGGGTCTTGACCCACAGGTTAAAACCATACACCTTAAAGCAACCCAGGCTGCTCTGCTCCTCATACCTCTATCTACGAGTATCTTCCCTGCTCAGGAAACTTACAGGTCTTTAAATACTGCAAAAATCAATCTTTTTCTTTTCTTTTTTTCGTGACAGGATTGCCCAGACTGGCCTTGAATTCGCTATATGATCAAAGGAGACCTTACTCTTCTGATCCTGCTACCCCCAAGCAAGTACCGCAACAGGCATCGACTTTCCCAACATAGAAAGCCTCTGCTTCCTCCTGCCACTTGCCATCCACAACCAGTCAAGACCCCCCCCCCCCATTCCTCTTCTGTAATTTTCCTAAGAAGTACCTAACCAAGTAGCTGAGACAATGGTGGACAATGTATACTGTTATTAAGGATTAGATCTTGAGAATAATTTACTTGACACAGAGTGGCACCGCAGCTGTTTTAGTTTTACTGTGGATCACTATTTGCAGAGGCAGGTAACAGCTAGGCTACTATTGTAAGTTTTCTTCTTTTCCCAGTCCTGACAGTCAATGTGAACCCTGGTTCCTGCCAGCTACTATTTCCCCTGAACTACTGTTCTGATCTCTCTGCAGTTTTCAAAGGCAAGCTGCTAGTAATCTGTCTTTTTTGAATTCACACACTTGTTCTTTGCACAAATCTTTCAGCAGGGGCTGACTGAGGCCTAAGTTCCCATACAGTGTCCTGTGAGAATAAAATCTTCCTAGCTGTCAGGTGGCTGTGGCTCTGGGCAACTCAGGACATTTCTGGATACTCATGTTCCTCACTAGTTAAGTTACAACTTCATGAACACTGGTCTATAGCAGGGACTTGTCAAACAGCCTGTGGCTGCTGGGTTTTGCCCTTTAGTCTTTGGAAACCTTAACCCTTAATGTATGTACATGTATTTAGGGGGTGTCATCCCTTGCATACAAGTTCTAAGAATCCCTTTTACTTGATTAATAAACTCCTAGTAAATACCTACCTTGTACAAGGTGCCTTGTACACACAGCATTTAGCATATAGCAATTTTAGGCTATTTCCCCTAATTCTGCCTTTCTCTGTTTCCTTCTTCCCAAGTTTTCCCTGAAAAACTGCAGCTGTCTCCAGCTTCCTACCCTGCCCTCAGTGGTGCCCCACAGGACTGGGAACATAAACCTAAAACAAACAAACAAAAAAACAAACAAAAAAACTTTAAATGTGACCTCTGCAGTTGGAGAAGCTGCCTGCCTGACAACTACAAACTTAAGACTTGGCCACTGGCCTGTTCCTGGTGCTGCTGTGCTGTAGTCTCCCAAGTTACTAACACCAGGTTTCCCATGCACACATACAAGCTGTAATACTTCGAGAATTCCTTTCCACAAGGCACTTGCTACCATCCCACTCTTTCAAGGCCAGCTCAAAATCTGTTCTACAGATGTAGTCTACCCAAGAGTTGTATAAGCAGGATCAGGAACTCTCCCCAAGCTCACAGGGAACCTCAGACGCTTCCTCATGCTGTGCTCACTGGACAGACAGTGTTTGCAGCTTTGCAAGCCTTGCCATCTCTGTTGCCACTACTCATTTCATAGCCAGAACACTCAGTGGCCATGGACAAGCCCTACCTGCTAGATGTGGCTATGTTCCATTAAATTTTATTAATAAAAACAGGTAGCAGCTGGATTTTGGCAACTGTTGCTGCACAGCACCCATCATACTTCAGACTCTGGACATACTACAGCACTGGGTATGTCTGCAACTGTTGTACATACTCTCAGTTACAATCCTACTGGCATCCTGAATGCTCTTTGTTTCTTCATCTGCTCATGGGGGCAGTATTTATACTCTCACAGGTTTCTGTGAGAAATAAATGGAACATGTATAAAACGAGGACAAGGTGTGTAGAGCTGCCATGAACTATGTGTGCCTGTGACTCACTTCTGAATGCAAGAATGGTACATATAATGCAAATCTGTCTGGAGGAAACCATGTTATCACACGCCATTGCCTTCACACTGTAGGTAAGAGCAGTGGTCTCCAAACAATCACAACACACAGCAGTGTACAGAGATGGTGAGGGCCCTGGGAGACCAGTGAGGTAGATGACTTACAGCAGGGATAGCCGTAGAAGAGTTAGTTCATGGAGGAGGTAAGAGTTTCAAAAGAGGCAACTGATGGATGTGGCCCCAGCTGCTGTGTCAACACCACATAGATAAGACCCTGAAAATATGTTTGCTACTTTCAGCTGTGTGACAACAGATGAGCCTTCCTCTTCTATACAATAGGGCTAACCATTATCTCATAGAAAGCACTGGAGATTCAGTAAGATAACATATGCTTGAGCCCAGAGGACACTTAAGTTTGTCTCCCTTTGAAGCACCAATGGAATTCTGACAGGCAATGATGGAGAAATGACAGTCCACTGTGGGAATGAGAGGAAGTGAAGGTACAGCAGGAGAAACAAACGCATGTTCCAGAGAGAGCAAGCAAACCAGTGCCTGGAGGGTGGATCCAAGAAGGGTACAAAGGTAACCAAACTCAAAACCTGAGTTGGGAATCACAATGGGGAATAAAACCAATAGAATTAACATATTCTAACTATGGCCCCATAGCAGTGGCAGAACATGGAAGATTAGGAAATCTTTACTGAATTTCCTGAGTCTCAAATGCCCAAGAGAAAGTACAAAACTAAGTATTCATTAGTCTTTCGTAAGTATAAAGTATAATGAGGCCCAACCCAGACAAACTTCACAAATAAGACTAATAGTCCTTGAGGCACTTAGATTGTCTGGCTGAAGTCTCAGAAACCCTCCCTCCTTCTCATGCCCTAGGACAGATAGTGCAGTGTAGCCTCCAATGAGGCTTGGGAACTGGCAGGGACTGCTACTTGTCGCTCCCTGCTCCAGTCTCATTCTAGCAGTCTGAGCAAGCCTTTGTGGAGAGTAACTTAGCAGGTTACTTCATTCATGGAAGTAAAACCAGACCCAACCAGGACCTCCAACCAGCCCCAAAACTGCTACAAAGAAGGTCTTCATACTTGGGATTCTTCTCCCCTGTGTGGGGTTGGTTGAGAGCTCTGGGCTTGGATGGTGATGCTGACATGGCCTCCGGGGAGGAGTTGAGGCCTGGGCTGGGCTCAGTACTCTGGCTGTCCTCCTCCAAAACCAATCTGCTTATTGTCATGCGACTGTTCTTGGGCTGCAGTTCTGAGCCTCCCTCACCCTCAGCAGGAGCTGAGTTTTCATTTTCATCTTTCCTGGGTCTCTTGTTTTTGTGGGTTGGTGATGATGGGGATGCTAGATTAGGAAGTACCAGATCTTTCTGGTCCAGTTTTGCAAAAGCCGCCTCTGAGTCTTGTGCAGTTGACAGAGCTTTGAAAGCTGCCTTCAGGGTCCTGATTCCAATGGTGGTTGGAGTGTTCCGGGGCTGTCTGCAAATAAACCACACACAGAAGAATCAGTATCTTCAGTGTGGAAGCACATATAGGTAGGCAGGACTTTTACAAAGTATAAGGCTTCAAAGAGAGGATTCTTCAACACTCTCTTATCAAAATAAAATAAAATAAAATAAAATAAAGAAAAAGCCAACAAAGCAGGAGGGGGGGGCTGCTTCCCTATTCTTGAATAGCTGTTGTTTATAAAAGCCTTCACTTAATGAGTACAAATCTAAGTTCTATCAATTTTAAATTCCAAGAAAGCCAAGGCCAACACTATTCTCTCCAGAGGTCTCTCTCTGCGTGCTACCAACCCTTTCAGCCTGTATGAGCAAAGCAATGTTTTCCATCATGTAAGAGCTCTGAGTAGTGCCTGCCAACCACACATCTACCCAGGCAACAGATAGAAATGGCTACAGTCTCACTGAAATCTCCACTCTTTCAGCCATCCCAGTCCAAACCTCATGAAAGACAACTAATGGTATATACATTTAGAAACAGTGGCTTGAGAATTCTGAGGAAGTGGTGTGCCACTGGTCTGGAAGCAACGAGACTGACTTTTACAGAGATTTTTATCGACCCTTTGGAACAGCTAATGAATTTAGAGTAAAATCTATCAGGAAAAAGCAAACTGGCAGCTTGAAGACCAAATTCCCATCAGATTGTCTAACACATACAAAGCTGCTTTCTAAAATCAACATTTAAAAGTTGAGAAATCTAGCTCAGTGGTTAAGAACACTAGCTGTTCTTGCAGAGGACCCAATTCAGTTACCAGCACCTACATCAGGTGGCTCAATATTATCTGTGTATAACTCCAGCTCCAGGAACTCCTGACGCCCTCTCTTGACTCTAAAGGCACCCATATTCACCATACACACTCATGCACAATTAAAAAATAAATCTGTTTAAAACTTCAGAAATAACCACACACAAAAGAAACAAACAAAATCTGAACTAAAGTTTTGGTATGTTTAGACACTCTCACAAAGTAGCAACTGCCAAAACCAGAAAACCTGGCCTTGCCTTTCCAGTTTTGGAATGTCTTGTTTTAGGACCCATTTGGCACTCTGGGTTTGAAGATGGGGCCCCAGCAAGTAATGAGGATTAGAAAAGGCCATCAGGACAGAGCCCCAAGACTAACTAGCAGGGGACACATGCATCCACACCTCTCTTTTCCCTCCCTCCCCTCAAACCTCTAGTACTGTAAGCTAAATAAATCTCTTCTATGGCTAATAAAAATGTACCAATACACAGACCCCCAGAGGAATCTACATTTTTGACTTTCATATTAAGTCACTAGTCTTTATTAAGTCTTCTTTCTTCCCTTTCCTTTGACATGTGAAACCTTCCTTCCTTTCTCGCTCGCTTGCTTGCTTGACAGGGTCTCACTATATAGGCCAGGCTAGCCTCTAACTCAGAGCCTCTTGCCTATGTCTCCTAAATGCTGGTATTAAAGTTATGTGCCACCAGAGGCAGGCAATCTTTGAGTTCAAGGCCAGCCTGGTATACAGAAAAAGTTCTAAGACAGTCAAGAGACTACACAGGGAAACCCTGTCTCCAAAAACCAACCAACCAACCAAACAAACAAACAAAAAAGCTATGTGCCACCATGTCTAGCTCTGACTCATTTACTTGAACACTGCTTCCTGAGTAAATTAAAAGATTAGTTGTCCAGCCAAGTATGGTAGCTCACTCATACTGCAGTCCCAGCACTGGGAAGCTGAAGGAGTACTGATGAGTTCCTGGCCAAAATAGTTACAAAGTGACTCTGTCTCCATAAAAGGAAAGGAGCAGGCACATTTGTGTGTGGTCATCCACAAGTTATAGGTGTGATAAAGAAGTAAAAACAGAACCTTTGGGGATATGCCAATCAGGATCTTTTCTCAGAGACCCCAGAGAGCTAATCTCATTTTCCTAGGCCATATTCTCCACCTCTCACAGTGTTTGCCCAAAACCGGTAATGTCATCAAGTCCACTAGGGGAAATTGACCCTGCTAAAAGTCGTCCCTAAAACCACAAAAAGACATTGTCACCTTGAAGGCTCTCTCAGTGGCTTTTCCACTGGCTCTGGGACTGGCTGCTTTTCTTCCTTCGCTGTACTTGAAGCAGCAGATTCAGATTTCAATGCCTTTTTGGCCATCTGGGAAAAGAAGGGTGTCATTAGGAAGAGGAAGCCATAGAAGTAAATTTAGTGTCTGCTTCTTTCACCAAGAACATACTCAACATGAACATAACTCAACACGAAGCAGCACATTCACAAATTTACCCAAGAACTGGCCAGAAGACACAGATGGGCACAGCATGATGAGATACCCTCAAACTTCTCCTCCTTATTGTAAAAAAACAACAGACCTACCACAGTAACACCGCCATTGATGGCTAGCTACACTAAAGAGAACTCTCTTGCATTGTACCTTTGTCCTTCCAATATCAGTCCTATCTCGTCCCTGGTTCCCAAGTCTCTTTTGGAGTCAGGTATAAAAGTTAAATTTCTTTCCCTACTTCTTAAAAAATTCTTAATTTTTTTTTTTTTTTTTTTTTTGGTTTTTTCGAGACAGGGTTTCTCTGTGGCCTTGGAGACTATCCTGGAACTAGCTCTTGTAGACCAGGCTGGTCTCGAACTCACAGAGATCTGCCTGCCTCTGCCTCCCGAGTGCTGGGATTAAAGGCGGGCACCACCCCCGCCCGGCTTTTTTTTTTTCACATATATGTGCACACATGAATTCATGTGTACCACATGCCTATGGAGGCCAGAAAAAGGTATCAAATTGCCTGGAACTGGAATTGCTTGAAACCTAATTTGGATGCTCTGCAAGAGTAGCAAGTGCTCTTAACTTCTGAGCCATCTTTACAGGCCACTCCTTTCTTTTCTTTCTTTTTTTAGGCAGGTTCTCAGCATATAGTTCCAGATGATCTAATTTGACTGGTAGACCAGATTTGCCTTGGACTTGCTGTGACTTTCCTGTTTGTTTCCCAGGTACTGGCATTATAGGCGTGTGCCATCATGCCTGGCTCAAGCATTTTTTCAAAACGTAGGATAACTGTCAGATGAATGATTTTTAAGCTGGGTGGTGGTGCCACATGCCTTTGATCCCAGCACTGGGGAGGCAGAGGCAGGAGGGTCTCTGTGAGTTGGAGACCAGCCTGGTCTACAAGAGCTAGTTCCAGGACAGGTTCCAAAGCTACACAGAGAAACTCCCACCATTCCACATCTACCTCTCAGCTCAGATTTCACTGCCGATGGGAACCAGGATAAGAGAACGTTGTGACAAGATTGGTCACAGGTAAAAAAGCTTAAAATGCAGGTGAGAGAAACCAGGTATGTTCCGTCTGTCACAGCCAGCAGTTCATCTTGGGCATCTCACAGGTATTTAAGAAAGGTAGTACACATAACCCAGTCTCTGTCACACCATTCTTTTCATTTCAAAACATGGTTATGGGAAGAGAAGAGAAGTTGAAGCACACCGTGAGGAGGTAGGGCTCCGTGTCATCCAAGTGGCTCTCTAGGAAGCGCAACATCTTCTGCTGGAAGGTTTCATAGGAAAAGTTCTGGATAACAGGGTGTGCCAAGTTTTTCTCTCGGATAATGTTCAGGAGATCAGTTCTTAGCTTCTACACAAGAGATTTACGTTTGCAACAGGAGAAAGGAAGAGAACAGTAACACATCAGGGCTGAGCTGAGACAGACTATCACCAAAACATCTGCAATACTGTCAGGCGACTCAAAGGACTGGGTGATAAATCATGGTTCAGCCACAATGAATGGGCTAGTCACAAAAAAGGGACAAAGAGGCTCCACTGTATGTCAATAAAAATTCTCCGGGCTGGAGAGATGGCTCAGAGGTTAAGAGCACTGGCTACTCTTCCAGAGGTCCTGAGTTCAATTCCCAACAACCACATGGTGGCTCACAACCACTTATAGTGGGCTCTGATGCCCTCTTCTGGCAAGCTGCACATGCAGATAGAGCACTCATACACAAATAAATAAATCTTAAAAAAAAAAAAAAAAAAAGAAAATCCCTTACTACAATATTAAGAAAAAAAAGGATAAGTGTTCAAATCAAGTGTGAAGACTCCCTGCATTCAATGTGTTCAGGTATGCACACACACACACACACAACAGACTTGCTTGTAGATAGTATCTCTGAAAGGATAAAAATAGTAACAGCTGCCTCTGAGAGCAGATAAAGGCAGAAAAAAGGGAATTTTCACTCAACTCTTTTTATTAATCCTGGTTTCATTTTACTTGTGTGTGTGTGACTGCCTGTGCATATATAGGCATGTGTTTTTGTGTCAGAGCACAAGTACAAACAAAGGTCTTAGGACAACTTGCAGGTGTTGGGTCTTGGGGATGGAACTCAGGTTGCCAGGCTTGGTGTCTAGTATCTTCACTGACTTAACAGGCCCTTAGAATACCTTTTTAATTTTGTACTAAATACCTGTTAGCACTTCAAAGATAAAGGTGATTTTGCTAGGCATGGTACTACATGCCTTTAATCCTAGCACATGGGAGGTAGAGGCAGGCAAATATCTGTTAGTTTGAGGCCAGCCTGGTCTATATAGTTAGTTCAACAACAGCCACAGCTAATATAGGCTATGCCTCAAAACAACAACAAAAATGGGTAAAGTGGGTTGTGTGTGTGTGTGTGTTTGATGCTAGGATTCAAACTCAGGGCATGTTGGGCAAATATCCTACCATTAAGCAATATCCCCCAGCCTAACACTCAAAACTTAAGTTTATAAAATAATACAAGTTGAGGGAAGAGAAACCAGCTGAAGGTATAGCTCAAAAATGACTTCCACACTTTTGACAGGAAATGGAGATATTAAGTCCTTTCCATGTTGCCTTCTGAGTCGACAGAGTTAACATTTATATAGACAGGGCTAGAAGTCTCATACTTTTTGTTAAACATCTGGCACTGATTACTTAAATGTCCTATCACAAAGCTGACAGAACAAGAAAAAAAAAAAGTGGTTTATGAAAACTAAAGCTTGAAAAACCAGTCTCAGATACTGAAGCCAGAGTCTGTTACCTTAAAAATAAAAAGATGTGAAGCAGTTTTTGTTTTTTAATTTTGAGACAGGATTTCTCTGTGTAACTCTGGCTGTCCTAGAACTCACTTTGTAGACCAGGGCAGCCTTGAACTCACAAAGATCCTCTTGCCTCTGACTCCTGAGTACTGGGATTAAAGGCATGCTCCATCACAGCCCTGCTTGAAGCATGTTTTAAGACAGTCTCACTGTGTCTCCTAGGCTGGCCTTACAACAACCCTCCATATAGCCCAAGGCAGGCTCCAAACTTGTAATCCTCTTGCCTAAGCTCTCAGAGGTTGGGGATCACAGACAACCTGTGTTGGGTTGAATACTTACATGATTTTTTTTTTTGGGGGGGGGGGGGGGAAAAAAGTTCTGGGTGGCATGGAGGCAGGCAGGCTGGCCTTGCAATGATCTGCCTGCATCTGCCTCCCCAAGTGCTGGAGTTAATGGTGTGTCCTACCACACCTGGGGTAAATGACATTCTCAACAAAGAACCCTTTTGTTACTGCTCTACAAAAGGCAGTGAGATGGATTAAGTCACAGGAATAAAAATATATCAAATTTACCTGAGTTGTAGGGTCCTTGGACATGTATTTTTTCAAAATTTTTGAAGCCTTTTCAAATTCTTTGTTTTTGATACAAATAATGACAGCCTACAAAAGGGAGAAAAACTTAAAAATTTTGTAATGACAGGTGTCATCTGAATATCAAATATCAAAACATACTCTGCTGAAAAGCTAAATCTTATAACTACCTAAGACTTTTCATACCGCATCAAAGTCCTGTACTTAAAAGTCAACATTAATGGTTCAAGCACTTGAGCAACCATAAGTGTAGTTTTTTGTTTTTAAAGCTGAGAGAGCAAAATTGGATCCCTTGGGTTACAGACACTTAGCGAATCTGGGCTGGACTGCCTAAGGAAAGACAGAAGTCATTCCAGAGGCCCCAAATTTCAAGTCCACAAAACAACTGATTTCAAGAGCTTTGGAGTAGGGGTGGGGCTTGGTGAGAGGGATATAATGTGGGAAAACGGACAACTGAAGTGCTGACCATCAAGTTCCGGTAGTTCTATTCAAAACAGTGCTGAAGACAATTCTATAGAATGAGAACCAAGTCTCTTATACCATAAATGCCAGCTAGTTACTCTAGATGGAGTATGAAAGGAATTTCTGAGACCCGCAAACAGCTCACCCATAACAGCAGATTTAAAATGACCAAGAGTCAGGTAGGACCAGATGTTCTTAGCAGCCACAGGAAAAAAAGAGTTTCTGTGAAGAAACCCCGAGAGAATATACACACAGGGAAAGGTAAGAGTGACTAGGTAACTGAAAGGAGACTTTTAATATGCAATCCAGAGCAGATGATACTGGTGCCAAATGTTCTTCAACAAACAGGCATGACTATGAATTGTTGGAAGATGCAAAATTAACCATCTTTTCAGATGACCATGTTTACTTACATACCATTTTCAGAATAAATATTATACTTCCTTAAAACAACACAGTTTTACTTTTTATAAGCCACATCAGTTTTATTAGGTTTAACTGCATTTTAACTTGCACACAGCAAAACTGTTTAGGGCATATGGAACCAAATGTCAACACGCCCAGACTTCTGTAACCACAAAATACAAAGCAATACTTTTCTCTCTCTCTCTCTCTCTCTCTCTTTTTTTTTTTTTTTTTTTTTCAACAGGGTTTTTTTTTTTTTTGAAGGGGTTTTTTTTTGCTCTGGGATTTGAACTGAGACTCACTCTGTAGACCAGGCTGGCCTCGAACTCAGAGATCTGTCTGCCTCTGCCTCCTGAATGCTGGGATTAAAGGCGTGCGCACCAACAACAGGCTTCCCATATCCTTTTCTAAAATATTTTTATGCTATTTTGTGTCTTTACAATATTACAGGTGTAGAGGGCACTACTTCTTGCTCTTTTCAGAGAGGGTATCACCACATAAAATGCAATCCTCCTGCCTCAGCCTCCCACAAACGGGATTACAGGCATTCATCACCAGACTGAGCTCCAGCACCAGTTGTAATAAGGATTTTTTTTTTTACTCAGCACAATGCCCTCAAGTACATCTGTATTGTTGGACCGTCAGTTCAGTTTTGTTTTTTGTTGTTGTTGAGCACTACTGTATTGTTTGGGATACATTATAGTTTAATCCATTATTTCCACTCAAGAACATTTGGAAGGGTCAGTTTTGGGTCATTATGAACAGAAATGCTAAAACACAGGTTTTTATGTGAACAACTCTCCAACTCTAAGGTAAATATGCAGAAGTGAGATCCTTGGAGCAAATCATGTTTCATGGGGTAAGCAGCAGCCAAACTGTTATGGTACAGAATAGGTGTACTATTTAGCATTTCTACCAGCAATAGGAACTGTTTTGGCCATCTGAATTCACTCTAGCATCTTTTAATATCCCCATAGCGGTCCATAGTTCCTGGAGGTACTATAATGCATGGAGGGGATGGAATAAGCTCCTACTCTACGTCCTAGCTCTAAAAATTTACCATATTGTCCTTGGATAGAGAACATACCAGATATTAAACTGTTGAGAACAGCTACCTGCCTCAGCCAAAAGGCTGAAAAGTGATCTTGTAGCACTTTTAACTATATAAATGTTACATATCCATGTACTAAAGTAAAGCAGAATTTCCTTGGAGTTATTTATAAGTTTGGCCATTTAACTGGTACCTCATAGCAGGAAATGTTGTCTGCTATGGTTGGCACAGACACTGAACCTAGCTAGGACTTACACCTACTACTAAAATATTTCATCACTGAGCTTTAGTCCCAGTCCTCTGTAAATTGAGAAAATAATCTTTAGTTATGTGCATGTGGATATGGGTGTGTGTGTGAGCACTGGTACCCACAGACGTGCTTGTCCCCCTGGAGCTGGAGTTACAGGTGTGATCTAATGTAGGTGCTAGGAATACAACTCAGGTCCTCTTGAAGAACAGTACATGCTCTTAACTGAGTCATTTCTTCACATCTCTCTCTGAATTTTGAGCCAGGGTTTCACTAAGTGCCTAACTACCCTCACATTCATTCTATAGTCTAGGCAGGCCCTGAACTTACAATCCTCCTGACTCAGAATGGAGTACCTCAGATTACAGACCTGGTCACCAGACCCCACTCAGTGGTTCTAGTTCACAATTTCTTTTCTTTTTCTTCTTTTTGGTTTTTTGAGACAGGGTTTCTCTGCAGCTTTGGAGTCTGTCCTGAAACTAGCTTTGTAGACCAGGCTGGCCTTGAAGTCACAGAGATCTGCCAGTCTCTGCCTGGGTTTAAAGGCATGCACCACCACCACCACCGCCTGCTGTTGGCTTATTCTTGATGTTCTGTTAAGACAGAACCTCACTATGAAACTCAGACCGACTTGTCATCTTCCTGCCTGAATTTCCCTAGTACTGAAATTATAGGTGTAATCAGTACTCGGCTTTTGTATTTTTACATCTATGGTTTTTACCTACTTAAAGAAGTAGATTTTAAGGGGTGGAGAGATGGCTCTGTGGTTAAGAGTGCTTGTTATTTTGTAGAGGACCAGAGTTCCTGTCCTAGCACTCATGCCAGGAAGCTAACTGCCTATAATGCAAGCTCAAGGAAATCAAAGCCCTTTTCTGGCCCCTGACACATAGTATACACCCACCACATTTTATTTATTTATTATTTTAAATTAAATTAAATTAAATCTAAATTAAAGTTTTGTTTTTTGTTTTGTTTTGTTTTTCTGAGACAGGGTTTCACTGTGGCTTTGGAGGCTGTCCTGAAACTAGCTCTTGTAGACCAGGCTGGCCTCAAACTCAGAGATCTTCCTGCCTCTGCCTCCAGAGTACTGGGATTAAAGGTGTGCGCCACCACCGCCCGGCATTTAAAGATGTTTTTAATCTTTATTCTTCATGTACTTTCCTACATATATGCATGTACACTATGTATACCTGGTGCCTGTGGAAACCAGAAAAGGGTGTTGGATCATCTAGGACTGAACTACAGGTAACTAAGTGGAAACTGAGAACCAAACTCAGATTCTCTGCAAGAGCTGTAAGTGCTCATAACCACTGAATCATCTTTCCAGTGCCCACATAGTAAAACAACAAAAACATGTATTAGCCATTTGGGAGACAGGAGGATCAGTAGTTCAAAGGCCATCTTTCAGCTACTTATCAAGCTCAGCAAAGAGCCCTGTTCCATCTCAATATGTATATATACATATATAGTTTTATTGTTTAAAACTTGCTGGGCATTGGTGGCGCATGCCTTTAATCCCAGCACTTGGGAGGCAGAGGCAGGTGGATCTCTGTGAGTTTGAGACCAGCCTGGTCTACAAGAGCTAGTTCCAGGACAGCCTCCAAAGCCACGGAGAAACCCTGTCTCAAAAAACCAAACTTTACCAGATCACAGGGCTAGAAGTGGGCTCAGTGGTTAAGAACACTTGTTCTTGCCGAAGACCTAGGTTCAATTCAAATCCACCGATTCTGGCAATTAAGATGGTTCAGTGGGTAAAGGAGTTTGCTGTATAACCCTGAAGACCTTAGTTCTATCCCTAACCCCATATAAAGGTGAACAAGAGAACTTCTTCACAGGGTTGTCCTCTCATCACCCTACAAATCATGCACATGCACAAAGACATACTTGTGGTGTTTTGTTTTGGGGTTTTTGTTTGTTTGTTTGTATAGAACAGGCTGGCCTCGAACTCACAGAGATCCTTCTTTCTCTTTGCCTCCCAAGTGCTGGGATTAAAGGTGTGCACCACCATCACCCAGCTAAAGATAGTTTTGAGATTGTTTTTGTTCTTTGGTTTTTTGAGACAGGGTTTCTCTGTGGCTTTGGAGGCTGTCCTGGAACTAGCTCTTGTAGACCAGGCTGGTCTCGAACTCACAGAGATCTGCCTGACTCTGCCTCAGAATGCTGGGACTAAAGGCGTGCGCCACCACCACCTGGCACAAAGACATACTAATTAATAAAAACTTTTTGGCCTCCTGGGTCCTCTGAAAGAGTCTCAGAGACCTCTAGAAATCGTTGAATATGAACAGATTAGTTCTAACTTAATTTACTTGATTAAACTTTTTCAATTTGAATTACCAACAACCTTCCATCTTACTGTGGCAGGGTCACTCAATCAAACCCAGAGCTCTCAGATCTAGCTAGTCTCCCCAATCAGTTTGTCTTGGAGATCCCATCTCCCCCTTCTGAGGCTGGGTTATAGTGCCACCATGTCCTCCCAGCATTTACACTGGGGATCTGAACTCCAGTCTTCACACTTGAATATCAAGTACTTAACTACTTAACCATCTCCCAGACCCTATTTTAATACACTTTAATAATAAGTTATTAGAACACTTTACAAAGCTTACGTTGAAAGACCCCGCCCCTTGGCTCGTCTGCTGATATGGACACCCCCTATCTCTGCAACAGTGTCTGCTAACCAGAAGCCCCTGATGGATTCCCCATTGCCTAAATTCCTTTTTGCTTTTGACTAGCATTTCAACCTTCTGGGGTCCCTAACTTCGTCCCAAAGTCAGCAGGAAGCAGT